CAGGAGGGGAAGACCCTCTATGAGATGGATTGATTCGGTGACTGGGGTAATCAGGATGGGTGTGTCAGAGCCAGTGCGGTTGGCACAGGATAGAGCAGGGTTTAGGGCTGTTGTGCATAGGGTCGCTATGAGTCGGAAACGACTCGATGGCACATAACAACAACAACAACATATTGTGCTTAACATAATGTTCTCATTTGCAGGAGGAAATTAAGTGAGGAATAAAGATAGTCAGCAAAGACCTTTTCAAGGTGTGCTAACATTTAATGGTGGAAAGAAATATCTTTTTAATCTATTACTGAATCCAATAATTACTTACAAATGAAACCTAAGACACAGGTTTGTCTGTTACATTAATACTATGATAACACAAGGAATAAGTCAAGAATTTACCTTTGTACTAGCCACGCCAATCTCAGGACCTGCATTAATGTGAACTCCACAATCCGTTTCTCTTGATATAGAGCTGCCCACTGTATTTGTGATCCCCACAGTTAAGGCACCTCTCTCCTTACAGTACCTCAGACCCATCAGAGTGTCTGCTGTCTCACCTGTGTAAAAATTAAGACTAATTACTGTAAGATATATGGAATAAATTTAAATATACGTCATTTCTTAGATGCAAAAAACAGAAACCATATTCAACAGTATATTACTTATTTTAAATTAAATATATAAAATGTGCATTTCAAATAGTGAATTAAAAAAATTTCTAACACAAAGATTTTTTACATTTTTTCTTATTGTTGAAAATTCAGCTCTTTGAGAGATGTTATATGCTGTTGAGTCAGCTATGACTCACATCAATTCTATGAACAATAGCTATGAATATCTATGGTCCTATCTCTGAGCCAACTTTAACATCTCTAATGAACCTGACCTCATTACCACAGTCACTGTGTAAAATGATCTCATCGGGATCTTCCTCTCCTATGCTTACTGATCCTTCACCCTTCCAAGCATGATGTTCTTCTCCAAGAACTGGCCCATCCTGACAACATGTCCAAAGTACTGAGAGGGAGTTTCAAAATCCTTGCTTCCAAGGAGCAACCTGGTTTTCCCCTCTCCAGGGAAGTCCTGTTTTCTTGGCAGTCCATGATATGTTCAATACTCTTCTCCAGCACAACAACTCAAAGGTATTCTCCTTTCATCCTTATTCACTGTCCATCTCTCAAAGCATAGCAAGCTAATGAGAAGACCATGGCCTGGATCAGACACACATTAGTCTCTAAACTGACAGTGATGTTCTTCAGCACGCTGGAGAGGTCCCTGACAGCAGACTTTCACACTGCAACTTATCTTCTGACTTCCTTACTACTGGTACCAAGGGTATTAAGTGTGGAACCAAGGAATATGAAATCTTTAATAACTTCAATCTTTTCTCTACATGATACTGCCTATTGGCCCAGAGGTGAGGGTTTTTCTTTTCTTGGTGTAGAGATGCATTCCATTTTGAAGGATGCAGTCCTTCATCTTTTGCAGCAAAATGCTTGATGGTTTTAATTTTTTACTTTGAGAGCTGTTGTTATGTGCTGTTAAATCACCTGCAATTTATGTACAACAGCTCTGAAGCCTGCCCTGTCCTGAGTCAGCCTCACTGCCTCCAACACACCTACCCTCATTGCCTCAGTTAATGTATCAGTAACTCTGAGTAGAAGGTGTTAATTTTACTAATTCATAAGAATTACATGACAAAGAAAAAGAGAAATCTGTATTTGTCAGTCATCTGAAATACCCATATATCCTTAAAGAGCAGTTTTGTCCAAGGTATCTAGAATTAGTAGAAGAATAACTTTCTAGCCCTTATATCTTTAATTTAGCATACCTGACTGACTAATGAAAAAACAAACATCATCTCGAAAAACTGGTGTGTTTCGATCCAGGAAGTCGCTGGCTAGTTCCACCATTACAGGCAACTCAGTCAGTTCCTCAAGAACTTGACGTGTCTATAAAGAAAAAAGTACTTAGTCACAAAACCTGTTTCAAATTATTTTCTTTTTCCCCTGTACATCTTTGGACTCAATGTATTGTTTTCACCTTTTTTAAATAATAAAAATCATAGATGTATTGTGATGAAATATATATGAAGGTTAAAAGCATAAAAACAAAACCATAATTAAAATTCCACCATTTAAGTCATAATTTTAGTACAAATCTCTTAAAAACTACCCAAGTATATAGTCATATAAGCAAATCCATCCATACATATAAAATGTCTAGAGAAATTAAATGAGAAAAGCACTGTTGTGAATCAGCTTTGGTTTTAAAATGAAAGATACATGAATTTCCAAAGAAAATTTCCTTTGGAAATTTATATACCCAAGTCACTGAGAGATTTCAAAGGAGATAACAAAAATGTACACAAACATTAAGTGAAAAAAATACTCTAAATAGGCAACATTATTCATAAAGTACTATCCGTAAATATATTTTAAAACTCTCTTTTAAGAAAACTTACTATTTTCACATTTTGTAGTATGAATACTAGGGTGGGGGACAATATGTGTCTGTTCAAAAGTATCTTAATGTCTCACTTATTAATTTACATTTATTTAAGTCTTTTCACTCTCAACCCACTGGAGTCACCTATGAGTTAGTTCTGATTTAATGGCAGTAAGAGAGAGATTTGATAGATGTTTCATTTAATGCAAAGCTTGAATTTTGAGCTGACTCCAGTGGTTTTCTGGAGGCTGTGAATTGCCCAGGAGGAAACTATCTATCTCTCACAAAGTGGCTGGTGGGTCTGAATAAACAGATGTCACCTTTGAGTCATCAGCACATCTCTCACTATGGACTATGCCACCAGAACTTCCTATTTTATTTCATCAAATAGCACCATTAATTACTTTTTGTTTCTGAATGGAGGGTTCATTCAGTACTAGATGAAAGGCACCACTGAATCAATACATCTGTGCTAGTGTGGATTTATTGTTCAAATTGGCTTTCCTAGACCACTTGTCTTTGACATTTGCCACATGATTGAAGGGAGTACACAAATAGGGTGTGTACTCTATCCATGATGGGACAGGTCAGTAATGCCATCCCAGCAGGTTTAAATTGGGCAGGTTTAGAGACAAACAGTGAGAATCTCACTATTAGCAAGACTGAGAAGGAAGATCAAGTCCTTCAGGGCCACAGGGCACATATCAGACTGGGACTCTGATGAAAACAGCAAGAACACGGGGAACCAGAAATGAACATGAGACAGAGCTGACACTGGACTGCTAGGCCACAGAGCCAGAACTAGAGACCTTTGTTCCAGTTCACTGACTGAAGAACTAGGAGGAGATACTGTCGTTGGTAGGACTAAGAGAGCTATATGACACTGACCGAGAGTCATAAGGCTAAAGATCCGAGGACCTGCAAGTGTGCTTGAGAAGCTGTCTTGACTGAAGATCTACATCCTGTTTCCAATTTGAACTGAAACCTAATTCAATTCCCTAATAAATCCCATAATTATGAGTATGGTTCTTTAAGTTCTGTGTGGCCATGCAACAGATTAACAAACTTAGTACTAGATAGACCTAGTGAAAATCCTAGAAGGGTGGTTGGTGTTAGAACTGGCAGTAGTAGAAGGAGGTACAGGACTGTGGGAGGGAGTGCATATCTGACCTTATGGAAATAGGTTTTGTGTTGTGGGGAGTGTTCCTCTCTGTGAAGTTAATGAAAGTCCGATTCAGCCACGCCTGGCCAGCTGTTGACATAATCCCTTTTTTATGTTACACTGATGTCTTTAATTCATTCTTTTCATGTTCAAAATCATAACTTAGAGTGTTTCCTTCAACACTGAACCTTTCAGAACCTTTTTCCACAGGAGGAAAAAAAAAATCCAAGGGCTCAACCACCAGCCGGCTTTACTTACTACACATAAACTATCTCTTCATAAGGAAACTACATTTAGATATCATTTATGTGACTAAAAGATCTTTATATATCTATGCTTCTGTTTTAATAATCAACAAATGTCTTTGACTTAGATTTAAGTTTTCAAATTAACAATGGAAAAATATCTGTCAAAAGCACACATCATCTTTTTTTTTTTACAGAGGTTTTGGATTTCCATTCATTCATTGCCGCAATTTTCTCCCTGCCCACCCCTCCCCACCAGCTCGCTTCCCCCTCCGAAG